CCATAAATGATGGCCGAAATACAGGTGTCTGCATATCATTCAGCTTAGTGGGGATTGCTTGGTCAGGTTTTGTGGATTGGGTGACTGCTTGTCATCGTATCAAGTCAAAGCGTGTATTGCATCAAAGGCCATTGGCCTATATACAAATCATAGATACAATATGTAAACATATTCATTCTGCTGTAATCATTCATTCAATAATATAAACCATGGATATCTACATTCAGTGAACTGGTAGAATAATCATACAATACAATTTCTTAGTTTCAGTGCGTGATGTACATACAATGCATTATCAGACAAAATTGCTTCATTTTTTGTTGCCAAGAGATTAACAAAAACGGTATAACTGACTAGATTAGGACAATAATGTTCGCCAAGATATTTTATTCACACTAACTTAAAAGTTGGCCACAAAAATATAAAATGGAATTCATCTTCTATTCCAGAACTACACAAAGAGCACTATCGTAAAGACTTTTTTAAATCATGTGTTCTACCTTCATTGATCATTAGATTTGTAAGACCAAGTCTAAACCTCGTTCACGCTTTGTCAGTTACCTATTTGTTTGGCTCTCACTCAATAATGACAAGGAAGCTAATATATAACTGGTATACGGCTGACAGCGGCATAAAACAACATTCAGTGATATTAGTCGGGTATGGGCTTCGATTTGAACTCTACTTTAGCCAGTCTAGTTCCGAACCTGCCAATAAAGTGTGAATTGGTGAGAATGGCTTTACACCTCTTTCAGAAATAATCTACCGCCTCCGTGGTGTAGTGGTTACAGCGTCCGCCCGGAGAGCGGAAGATCGCGGGTTCGATCCCCGACCGCGTCATACCAAAAGACGTTAAAATATGGTACTTGTTGGTCCCTGCCTGGCGCTCGGCATTAATGGGTACAAGGACTGGTCGGCTCGGAGTCAGTATAATGGTATCTCAGTGGGCTAGCACTATAAAAAACCCAGCTTCAGTCTGGGCTAGTACAAGCAGCCGCACCTACACATACACACGCATGCACGTCGTCATATGAGCGAAATATTCTCAAGCACGACGTTGAACCCAATTTCACCTCACCTCACCTCAGAAATAATCTATAAAAATCACAGCTATGGACATTAGATATGGGCTTCACATATTGTGCATATACGGGGATTCGAACCCGGGGTAATTGACGTAACGAGCAAACGCTTTAGCCACTAGACTACCCCAATGCACCTGAAGATCATGAATTTGGTTTAACTCTTATCACGGAACCTCACCTGGGAATAGTATGGGAAGGATCCCACATGTCACAGGTCTTTGACGTTATTGACCATATTCTCCATAGAGCTCTGCTATGGCGTTGACAAACCAAACATCATAATAAGATTCGACCCCAGGACCAGCCTGACAAGAACACTGGTAAAAGAGAATTGCGTTGACACAAGCCAATGGTTCATTCTATTAACGTTTTAGAAGAAATTGGTTTCATTTAACAGGCTGCATGACCAGAAAAATATCCCAATGCCATACTAACGGTAAAAATTCTGAAAGAGCAGCGATATTGCTACGATTAGCTTCCAACAAACAATCTTCAGAAACATTTTCCTCCTGTTGTCATGACAACGCAATATTATCGTATTAGTGTTAAGGTTTTGCCGTGATTGTACCGTTAAATGAACACATGCTACGATTGGACTTCTTAGGGCAGTCCTTGACGCTTGTGCTACAGATGGCTCGGTGGTGGAGCATAGAATAATATCGACATATTTCCGCTACAATGAAGAAGATATGCCAATATGTCGCACTTGATCTGCTACAATCCCGTAGGTGCCAATTGATATCATGCTGTATGTAGAACCGTTCTTGATTGGGCACAAATCTCTCTGTCGGAAAATCACGGAAATATTTGGTTGGGTAATATGGTGCAGGAGAATTGATTAATACGATCGACACTGAATAATTGCATTTTCGCACATAAAAGTAGTTGCGGCGTGATATGAGGAACACATGTTTGAGAATTGACTGAAGAATTAAGCTTATAAAAATGAGACGTGTTAGTCTTTTGTGTGGGAAATGTTCGTGACGACCAAGTTTTTTTGTGGTATTTTTATTATTGGTTCCCAAGATTACGCATAATTCATTAAATAGATAATGTACAGATAATGTGACGACCAAGTTGCAGTCTGTCTATCACATCGTAGTACAGAGATTTTCAAAGAAAAAGGTCGCATCCCCCTGGTAGCCAAGGGAAGCAACTCCGGACAACGCGATGTACAATTATTAACAACAGCTACAACAACAGCGCCAGCAACAGCAACAGCAACAGCAACAAATATACGTCTATTTACAGCAGTCGTCCTAGGCACTACAGTTTGGTGTCAGCGTTTAGGTGTGTTAGAAAGTTATGATGGTGGGTTCGAATCCGACACTTGATCTGATTATGTTACTAGGTCTGTCTGCACCATACCATGATCGCTGGTCTCACTTAAGCAGCAAACGTCTAGACTACCTTCACTTCAGGAATTCTTCCAACACGAAGCTGATATACCATGATATTGCAATAGGAATGGCTATGCGTCCCCAAAACACACCCCGTAAGGGCTTTAAGTCCGTTTTATTATTGGCACTATTATAAGTATGGTTACATACAAATCTGTGTAATAATATATACATATTAAGTGCACCATTCAAAATGTCTATTTCATAATATGATACAGCTGTGAAATGATATATACATATTAAGTGCACCATTCAAAATGTCTATTTCATAATATGATACAGCTGTGAAATGATATATACATATTAAGTGCACCATTCAAAATGTCTATTTCATAATATGATACAGCTGTGAAATAATATATACATATTAAGTGCACCATTCAAAATGTCTATTTCATAATATGATACAGCTGTGAAATAATATATACATATTAAGTGCACCATTCAAAATGTCTATTTCATAATATGATACAGCTGTGAAATAATATATACATATTAAGTGCACCATTCAAAATGTCTATTTCATAATATGATACAGTTCACAGAAGCGTTAAACCCAACTTACTCACTTGGTTCTGGAGTACTTCAGACGCACACACCAAACCAGCACACTGAGACATAATGGTGTACAGGTTAGGGCGCCCTTTAACCATAAAAACCAAAATGGAAATTCGGTGTCTTCGAATACGAACAAGCATTTCAGTCGGAGAAAATTCCCAATATCAATCACGAACAGCCGCCTTATCACTATGCATGCGTATAAAGCATTTATTTTTGTTCAAAACTCTGTCGTAATATTTTTGCCATCGTGTTCATTCAACAGCAAACAAAGCAAAGGTTATCAACAAGATAACTTATCGAATTGTTATCCGTTTCTTGTAATAGCCAAAGATAACCAGTAGCCAAATATATTGTTGACATAAGTTCCGCCTAGACTTTGGAATTATCAGCAAACGGAGAAAATCGTGGCTACACATTTCCAAGTTGCAAATTGACTTTTATTGAACTTTGTGGACACCATTCTAAGCCATTGACTCCGCTCCCCTGTTTAGTAATCAATGGTTTGAGAGTCGACATCTGGCGGCGACACGGCAACGTTGGCTGAGTCGGTCAATACGACGACAGCTACACAGCAACTAGGTAACCGGATAGGGAATCGGTGGAATAAGTCGTGTAACACCGCAACAGTTCTGATTTTAGCTGTCTCAATTGGTGTTATTTCTAAAGGGTTTTCATCTTGGTGCGGAACAGCTGGCATTGCTGTTAAGCGGATTGCGATTGGGAATACCTGACACGGTATTATGGACTTAAATCGCCAACAGAAATGTTTAGCACAAAGCAAGAACTGATTCTATTTGAGAAAATACAAATCCGTGTAATTAAATTTCTTTCTTAAGCACGGTACACTGATGATATTGAAGTTAATCTGTGAATGAGAAAGTCGTGTGTGTTCGATATGTCACGATGTCCTACTCTTGGTTAACAGACTTGTATATCTGTCTTAAGACATTTGTGGACACCGGGTGTTCGGGGTTTGGTTGAACTATATGTTGGAAAATATGTCATTGTCGTGAGGTTTGACGTTACCACAGGGTATGACATTAACACAGGGAATGGCTTTAACACAGGGTATGACATTTACACAGGATATGACATTAACACACGATATGGTATTAACGCAGGGTATGCCATTAACACAGGGAATGGCATTAACACATTATATGACATTAACACATTATATGACATTAACACAGGTATGATATCACCACAGGGTATGACATTAAGACAGGTACGACATTAAGACAGGGTGTGACATTAACACCGGATATGACATTAACACAGGATATGACATTAACACTGGTGTGACATTAACATAGGGTATGATATTAACACAGGTATGGCATTAACCCAAGATATGACATTAATACATTGTATGACATTAACACAGGATATGACATTAACATAGGATATGACGTTAACACAGGATATGACATTAACACGGGGAATGACATTTGCAAAAGCTTCCACGTAGACGAAAGGCATGACGTTAACGTGTCGTATGACATTAAGATGCATAACGATTCGATATAACACTTTGAAGGGACATGATATAAACGTGGGATATAAATGGTATAGGTATAAAGACAAGGGATATATATAACCATGAAACAGAGCATGAGAAAACCATGAGATATGACAGACCTAGAGGATATGGCATATATACATGTATGTGTTATGACACATACTTGGGATATGACACAGATCTTGGATATGACACACATATAGGTGTGACATAATACAAGCATAGGACATGATACAAATATTGCATATGGTGCAGACAGAGGCTATGGTGCAAACATATGATATGACACAAACACGAGATATAACACAAACATTGGATATGAAGCAAATATTGCACATGTGAAAACCTGAGTAATGACACAAACATAAGATAACAAACTTCTTGCATGTTGTTTAAACCTGAGCTTACATCCATGACACGTGTTACTCTTACTGACTGACTTTGTTTGGTTTTACGCCGCTTTTGGCAATATTCCAGCAACATCACGGCGGGGGACACCAGAAATGGGCTTCACACACTGTGCCCATGTGGGGATTCGAACCCGGGTCTTCGACGTGACGAGCCAACGCTTTAACCATTAGGCTACCCCACCGCCCCTGTTACTCTTACTGCATATGGTAGACACATGAGGTTTGACACAGATTCGACACAAACACGGAAAATGACAAACACGTGGGGCATTACAAGATAGCGGAACATCACACAAACATTGAATGTGACACAAACATCATATGTTTGATATCCTGTAAATGTGTATATGACATACAGATGACTTATGGCACAAACATGGGGCACGAGAGAAAAATGTCATATAGCACAAACATTGGACATGGCACAAATATTGCGTGGGTATGAACATGGGTTTGGGCAGAATAATGAGATACGATACAAACACTGGGTTTGGCACAAACATAAGACATGACACACTTTTGCAAGACAACTAGACATGCGTTAAGAAACAAAGAAAGAATCACCCACAGAAAAGGGCAGAATTATCTACAGTCAACAAAGAAACAACTGCAGTCAGACACAGAATTACAGGTTGTCGGACACCTCATCTCATCTCACCATCACCCCAAGTTACCTCAACAATAGTTCCAGGCCTCACTTAACTTCACCAACCTCGCCCAACCCAACCCAATCCCACCCTACGTCTTCTCACCTCACCTTCACCTCAAGCCACCTGACCCCAGCTCTCCAGGTCTCACTTCTCCTCAAGCCACCTGACCCCAGCTCTCCAGGTCTCACTTCTCCTCAAGCCACCTGACCCCAGCTCTCCTGGTCTCACCTCTCCTCAAGCCACCTCACCCAGCTCTCCTGGTCTCACCTCTCCTCAAGCCACCTCACCCCAGCTCTCCTGGTCTCACTTCTCCTCAAGCCACCTCACCCCAGCTCTCCTGGTCTCACCTCACCTCAAGCCACCTCACCCCAGCTCTTCTGGTCTCACCTCTCCTCAAGCCACCTCACCCCAGCTCTCCAGGTCTCACCTCACCTCAAGCCACCTCACCCCAGCTCTTCTGGTCTCACCTCTCCTCAAGCCACCTGACCCCAGCACTCCTTGTCTCACCTCACCTCAGCTCTCCTGGTCTCACCTCACCCCACCTCTCCTGGTGTCACCTCTCCAAAAGCCACCTCACCCCACCTCTCCTGGTCTCACCTCACCTCAAGCCACCTCACCCCACCTCTCCTGGTCTCACCTCTCCTCAAGCCACCTCACCCCACCTCTCCTGGTCTCACCTCAGCCCACCTCTCCTGGTCTCACCTCACCTCAAGCCACCTCACCCCAGCTCTCCTGGTCTCACCTCACGTCACCTCAAGCCACCTGACCCCACCTCTCCTGGCCTCACCTTCACCTCAAGCCACCTCACCCCACCTCTCCTGTCTCACCTCTCCTCAAGCCACCTCACCCCAGCTCTCCTGGTCTCACCTCACCTCAAGCCACCTCACCAAATCTTTCCTGGTCTCACCTCACCTCAAGCCACCTCACCCAAGCTCTCCTGCTCTCACCTCACCTCAAGCCACCTCACCCACCTCTCCTGGTCTCACTTCACCCAGCTCTCCTGGTCTCGCCTGTCTTCAGGCCACCTCACCCCAGCTCTCCTTGTCTCACCTCCCACCTCACCTCAGGCCACCTCACCCCACCTATCCTGGTCTCACCTCTCCTCAAGCCACATCACCCCACCTCTCCTGGTCTCACCTGACCCCACCTCTCCTGGTCTCACCTCACCTCAAGCCACCTCACCCCACCTCTCCTGGCCTCACCTTTACCTTAAGCCACCTCACCCCACCTCTCTCCTCACACCTTTACCTCAAGCCTCACCCCACCTCTCCTGGTCTCACCTCTCCTCAAGCCACCTCACGCCACCTCTCCTGGTCTCACCTCACCTCAAGCCACCTCACCCAAGCTCTCCTGCTCTCACCTCACCTCAAGCCACCTCACCCACCTCTCCTGGTCTCACCTCACCTCACCCACCTCACCCACCTCCCTGGTCTCACCTCTCCCACCTTCAGGCCACCTCACCCCAGCCACTCCTGGTCTCACCTCACCTCACCTCACCTCACCTCACCTCAGGCCACCTCACCCCAGCTCTCCTGGTCTCACCTCACATCACCTCAGGCCACCTCACCCCACCTCTCCTGGTGTAACCTCACCTCACGTCACCTCTCCTCACCCAACCCAACCCACCTCACCTCACCTCACCTCACCTCACCTCACTTCACCTCACCTCACCTCACTTCACCTCACCTCAACTATTATCTGACTTACATGTACTGTACATTCCCTATATCGTATCACGTCAAAGTACACGTAAAACAAAAGCCTGATTAAATGTCGCTTTAATTACATACAACGTAATAGCTCTTTCTTTTAAACACCGAGACTCCGGAACACCTCTGAGTGAAGGTTATATGGTTGTGTCGTGGTTGAATATCTTTTATAGTTTCTCTTTATTCCGACTTTGCAATTCCAGACAACGTCTTCTCATATGACCAACGGTGTCCCCTTTCATCGGTGACGTCAGACAACGTAAACCGGACTTTTTCAGACACTTAACGATTTTAGTATCCGGCTCTTGTAAAGTTCTGCTTCAGAAATGGTCTCGTCCATCTCATAATCTGGTTCTAGAAGTTACGAGCGATCCGCAAATCTGTTTGTGTCTTCACAGAAACCTCGGTATACCAAACTCTGAAGACTCTGATCTTGGATGTAATTAATTACTCATTGATGGTGCCATGGTGTGCATTCAAGCCGTTTCGTTAGTCAAGGCACCATTAATCTGGCCACCGTCTGAAGCTGATTTGACCTTCATGATTTTGCCGTGTTCTCATAAATAATTCACGTCTAGAAAACAACGGAGAGACTGCTTAATTTGTCATATTTTGTGTTCGAAGGCTACATTTAAGGATTGATACAACCATGTTTATATGACCATCTATCGGAGAACTTGATGCCTCAGAAAGAAATAATTGCTTGAAATTTGTGTCAAAGTTATGTAGATGAAGGGATCAGTAGATCAGTAGAAACTGAAGGGTAAGGGACCACATATGAACAATTTTAATGCGACATTAAAACTATAAGGAGAGCTTTCAACGGCATCGGTGTATTGATTAAGGGCACGATGACAGCGTTCGACAGAATCGGGACAGCGTTCGACAGCATCGTGACTGCGTTCGACGGCATCGTGACAGCATTCGACAACAGCAGGACAGTGTTCGACAGCATCGTGACTGCGTTCGACGGCATCGTGACAGCGTTCGACAACATCGGTACAGCGTTTAACAGAATCGGGACAGCGTTCGACAGCATCGTGACTGCGTTCGACGGCATCGAGACAGCGCTCAACGGCATCGTGACAGCATTCGACAACAGCAGGACAGCGTTCGACGGCATAGGAACGGCATTTGATGGCATCGGAATTGCCGTTCAACATCAGGAGAGCGTTCGACAGTACCAGTATCGAGTCAGCCTCCGGCAGCAGAACATCATTTGGAAGCATCGATACAGCGTTCGACAGAATCGGTTCAGCATTTAAAAGCAATGGGACAACATTTGAAAACAACGAAGAACAAATTCTGAACACCAATCTCCGGCATCAGGACAACAAACGGTGGAACCATGACAGCATTGCACGGTGTCATGAACACACTCGAGGGCCGGTTGGGTAGCCTAGTGGTTAAAGCGTTCGCTTGTCACTCCGACGACCCGGGTTCGATTCCCCACATGGGTACATTTCTGGTGTCCCCCGCCGTGAAATTGTTGAAATATTGCTAAAAGCGGCGTAAAACTATACTCACTCACTCACACACTGAAAGCGTTCGACATCAAAGGGATAGCAGTCACTAATTTTCTGACGATGAATTGCAAACAGTTGTGATACATTTCTCATTACTGTTTCATATCGTTTTTAAGCAATAATTCAGCTGTATGAGTTACAGCGCGTGGTGTACCTTCCGCAGTGGTGTATGTCATTATGCGAGAGCGTGTCAGAGTGTATACTAAGCACTATATTCAGCACTCAAAGATAATCTCCAGGTTTAAAGGATCTGTGACACCCTCTGTGGCAAAGTCTATGGCATGTAACATTCCGGCGGCAATACTTAGCTATGGAATTTTGATAGAATTGTCAGACGTTTCCCTTAGGGGATTACATGGCGGATTCTGTGGGGATTCTGCCCCATTAAAAAGTCCATTACGTCATGCCAGGAACTGACTAATCTGGCACTACTGGTTTCAGGGGCTTAATCTCAGGGTTTCTTCATGGTTTCAGTCACTGGTTCCGAGGGTGACTTGATTATTTCAGAGGTCGAAATTATTAAGCTTGAAATGCTGACTGTCCACTCACTCACTCACTCACTCACTCAACCACTCACTCACTCACTCACTCAACCACTCACTCACTCACTCACTCACTCACTCAACCAACCACTCAACCACTCAACCACCCACCCAAGGACTTCAGTTGCTTCAAAATCGTGTAAAAATCTACATCGAAAACGCCGCTCCTGATGGAGCTAGGCACCTAGCGCAACAAGTTGGCGATCTAACTTACTCAACCACCGTGTCTTCCAAATAATTCCAAAACAAAACAAAACATGTTATATTTGCTTATGAACGTTATTTGAGGGGCGGTGGGGTTGTCTAGTTGTTAAAGCGTTCGCTCGTCACTCAGAAGACCCGGGTTCGAATCTCCACATGGGTACAATTTGTGAAGACCATTTCTGGTGTCCCCCGCTGTGATATTCCTGGAATATTGCTGAAAGCGGCATAAAAATAAACTCACTCACTATTTAAAATGCTTCAAAAAAGGTTCCATATAATGTATCGCAGCCTATGGGCCAAAGTGTTAATCAAACAAGAAATATAATACCCTGGAACACCGAGGATGAGTCAATGATGAGGATGATACCAGATCTTAAACCGGTGCACGGACAATTTTAACAGAGCTGTATTTCTCTACGCTCCAGCGCGTAAAGCTTTACATGGGCAATTTCAACATAGGCTTTAGTCTCCTATGCGTGAGGCAAAGCAAAGACAATCTCAGCAGAGCCTTAAGTAGTTCCATGTGGTACGAGCACGTACACCACAGTCCAGCCCATCGCGTTGGATCCTGAGTCGGTAATATAGGTAGGTGATTACTTGAAATGAACAACGAACCCTCCCCGCCAGGTATGTACATGATTGTTCCCCGGGGTACCTGCCCAGTAATGTGATTAGACCAATTACTTCCAGTAATAGCGGCATTGCAAGGTCACATGAAGGTCACCTTCTCTCCATCTGCGTGTTGAATTGAACTGGCGGAGATTCATTGCTTGCGGATAGGCAATACAACAATGTTGTTGACAAGTTCTGAGTATATCGTGAGTTCTGCACAAATGTACATTGTAGCACGTAGAGTACGAGGTTCTGGTTTATAAGGAGGAAAATTCTACATTGCTGTTTTGTGATAGACATCGTTTTTCATTAAACATTTCTGCTTAGTGAAATCATGTTGAATTGATTTAAATTGTTTTCAGACTCATGTAACAGCTGGTTTAGATTTCGAGTCAGTATAATTTGGTATCTTTATAAAAGATCTGATCCTGTCAAAGGTCTGTCATTCATTCCGGCATTCTGTGACGTACCAATAGTCGATTCAGTTGTGACGTCATGCTGTGACGTACCAATAGTGTTTCGGTCGTGACAGCAATCTGAGACGTACCAATAGTGCTTCAGTCCATGCTGTGACGTACCAAACGTCCCTATCGCATGACTGTCCCTATGTTCTGACAGTATCCTGTGACAAGTCAACACTCCCAATAGTTCAATGATAGCGAGTAGCTCAGTGCCAATGCTGTCATCTGTACATGTCTGACTTGACGTGTTGGACGGTACCATTATTATCCTCCAAACATGACTACGTGTAGCATGGTACCAATGTTGTCCACAACATTTTGCGGCGTGTAGCGTCGTACCACTCTTGATGGCATGTAGCGTGGTTCGAATCCTGACCACAAAACATGATGGCGTGCAGCATGGTACCAATCTTGTCCACGAAACATGACCGCATGTAGCGTGGTACCAAACCCTTCCACAAAACATGACGGCATGTAGCATTGTACCAAATCTTTCCACAAAACATGGCGGCATGTAGCGTGGTACCAAACCTTTCCACAAAACATGATAGCATGTAGCGTGGTACCAAACTTGTCCACCAAACATGATGGCATGTAGCGTGGTACCAATCTTGTCCACCACACATGACGGCATGTAGCGTTGTACCAATCTTGTCCTCCACACATGATGGCATGTAGCGTTGTACCAATCTTGTCCACCACACATGATGGCATGTAGCGTGATACCAATCTTGTCCACCACACATGATAGCATGTGGCGTGGAACCAATCTTGTCCACCACACATGATGGCATTTAGTGTGAAACCAGTCTTGTCCACCAAACACGACGGCCTGTAGAGTGATACCAATCTTGTCCGTCACACATGATAGCATGTAGTGTGGAACCAATCTTGTCCACCACACATGACGGTATGTAGCGTGATACCAATCTTGTCCACCAAACATGATTGCATGTAGTGTGGAACCAATCTTGTCCACCAAACATGATTACATGTAGTATGGTACCAATCTTGTCCACCACACATGATAGCATGTAGCATGGTATCAATCTTTCCCTCCACACATGATGGCATGTAGCGTGATACCAATCTTGTCCACCAAACATGATTGCATGTAGTGTGGAACCAATCTTGTCCACCACACATGATAGCATGTAGCATGGTATCAATCTTTTCCTCCACACATGATGGCATGTAGCGTGATACCAATCTTGTCCACCAAACATGATTGCATGTAGTGTGGGAACCAATCTTGTCCACCAAACACGACGGCCTGTAGCGTGATTCCAATCTTGTCCGTCACACATGATAACAGTGTGGAACCAATCTTGTCCACCAAACACGACGCCCTGTGCGTGATACCAATCTTGTCCGTCACACATGATAGCATGTAGTGTGGAACCAATCTTGTCCACCACACATGACGGTATGTAGCGTGATACCAATCTTGTCCACCAAACATGATTGCATGTAGTGTGGAACCAATCTTGTCCACCACACATGATGGCATGTAGTATGGTACCAATCTTGTC